CTAAAAAGACCATGAGGATATGAGCTGTTTTGCTAACTGCAGTCCACTTTAGAGCAGGTTAAGCCTTTGAAAATGAAATGTCAAATACTGTTTCCATTTTCATTTTAATACGGTCCTAGAATGCTCACACAAGTATGTGATAATGAAAATGAAAATTGGCAGATTGCATTTTCAATTTAATTTTTACCTAAATAACACATACATATGTGGAAAATGATAATGTTATTGTGGGATCACATTTTCATTTTCAAGTTTATGCTTCCATACACTGCAGTCACACAAACTAATGATCAGGAAGTCAGGTATAGGCCTGAGGAAATACATACAAAAAGACCTGTTGGCAAAAAATACTTTTCTTAAAGATGAATTTTGCTCTCTTATGTGTGTGTGTGTGTCCGTGCGCAGTGAAGGCTTAAACAGCGCAGAGGAAACACTAACCATGGACTGTTCATCATGGTCTTTCTCCCCACACCCTAAAGCATAAAAGAAGAGATACAGACTCACAAGCTATGAACTGGTAGTAAAAACAGGGAAATCTTGGTTTACTAATCTTCACAACATGCATTAGGCTAAATGTATCTCAAATGTAGCCAGCAATTGCCATCACAGGACTATACTGTTGGAATGATCTGCAGACTATACAATGGACACTATTATTATTATATGACAACATAAAACAAAGCAGGTTAGTGCTGAATGCTCTGGTTGATATTACAGCCTTAAAATGTGATGTCAGCAGCTGTTTGTACTAATTATAGGAGCTGAACTGGTGTGATGCGGACTGGCACTGACAATATCTGAATAATCATGTACGCATAAATCATCCACTGGCCACCCACCCACTTAATTTTTTTCTGACATCTAGCCCACCTCTTATGGTCCTTTTGATATTCCAGGTGGTTTCTTTATTGGGTTGTATTGTATGAGTGTTTTCTTTAACAATTTACTTTCATGATTAGAGAGGCTGTTGACAGTCATTTTAAATGTTTTCATGCATGCAGTCATGTCACTGCAAATATTTTGGGACATTTATGCAAAAAAACTAAAAACTGAAGTTATAAACTTGACAGGACAGAGGAAACTCTGCAAAGGAAACAATTCAACTTAAAGCTTTTGAAATGTTAGACACTCTGATGGAGCTCAGGAGGAAGGCTGCTTTACTCCAGACAGTTTTTCTGTATGAACCTGGATTATGTGTGAGTAACTTATTGTTTTGTCATTTTACAGAGGTTAACTGTAAATTGCAGTGCATTATGGGTCCAAAATAATTACAGTTGTTGACAGCATTTTTCCACAGTAACATATTGTAAAATTACAGACAAACTGCGTTTTAACTGTAGATATTACAGTAAAATGCTGTTGATATCGGATTACATTGCAAAAGAGGAGCTGTTGTGGCTACCAGAGCTGATCGCAGCCATTCTAGTCAATGCTTGTGCTCAGACGTCACCCGGGTCAACAAGGTCCGTGTCAGGTGCTAGGGAACCAGGGCAACCTGACAGGGGGCAGCTCTTGTATTTGCATTTCACTCATGCATTATTATTATTGATAACCTATAGCCTACATATAATCACGGAGGTCCAGACCTCAGTGAACTCATAGCCGGTTACGGCCACGCTACCATATATTGGCAATAATAACTAACCTGTATTGTGGAATAATTACGGATGCTATGAGCCAATACAGATCAGATTTTTTATGACCTTTGATGTGTTAAGTGTTAATCAGCTCAGATATCAGAAAGGCTATGTCATAAATCATTGATCCTTTAAAATGTCAGATGCTTCACACCAACTCTAATCTTCTCATGTGGTCCTTTAATTTATAACACTGTTTACCATCTCACATGCACCTTCAAACCAACACGACATGCTTGACAATTTACAAATGAGAATATCAGAAAAAGTTTCTGCTCTTTTAAAATGCTTGATAGTTTATTTGTACAGCAGGTTGTCCCTTTTATAGTTTCAGTTTCTAACAGCCACATGATGAAATGACAGGAGCGTTGTTGATCATATGAGAACAAAGAAGGAAGAGAACAGAAACCTAAAAAAGGAAACAGAAGGAGAGAGCTTTTTTTCCTGTAAATTCCATAAATTGTGATGTTTCAATTATGCACGCACGCACGCTGTAAATTAAATCAGATTACAGTGGAATGTGTGTATGATTCATTAAACACAACTTATACAAAAGGTTAACTACTGTAGCAGTTTAGACATGTGGAGCTGCAATGTCTGGCTGGTATGATGAAACACACACACATGCACAGGCAAATGCTTACACAGAAGGTGATGTTGAAATGCAAAGGTTGGAATATATGTGCAATTTCCTTGCCAAGCCTTTGATATTTATTTTTATTTTATTTAAGTGCAAATCTGCAGAAACAGTAATAGAAGTCTGCAATTACAGATAAAAACAGACTTTTCAATCCAGGCTTTAATTTGTTAATTGCTTTGTTTTTTGTAAAACAATTAAATGGAGAAAAAAAGACACTTGATGTAGTTATTGGTTTTCACCAAGATTGATAAGCCCAACCTAAAAAAAGTCAAGTCACCACTGTTATCAAAACATACCTTCATTCAGGTTAATATTTCAGCAGCCTAATGGAGCCATCACAGGTCCAGTAATCAGGGGCTAACTTTATGGCTTCCATCACTCTGAATTTTCCTGGTGCTTCAGGTGAAGTAGCTGCTAATCAAGGTTTAGTGCTGCGGTAGTGCTTTATGAGCTCATACTAAAACTGTTTGACCTTTTGTACTGACCAGTGCACTCTCATCATAGCACTTTGTGTGCTGTTACTTGTCTTTAAACAGAGCATCATTAATGATTACATCCACCTAAATGACTTTATACACCACGTAATAGGATGAAGGTGTTGGTGTGTAAAGGTGAGCTGATTAAGACATAGCCACAGCTCTATTTTTACTCTGTTAGTAGCATAGCTCTAGGGCTGACAAGGTCTGATGGTCGGTCCAATCCAATTTTATTTTGATAGCTCTTTAACAATGCGTTTGTCGCAAAGACACTTTATAGACAGAAAGACAATTTATAATTTTAAAGAATACCATTGTCCACATCATCTTTCTTTATCTCACTCTTACTGGGAAGGCCGTTTAAGGTAACGCTCTACTTCACTCTGTACTGGAGCATTGTGGTAGTGACTCATCTTACATTTAATTAGTAGTATCAGAATTTAGAATACCAATTGACTTTCTTATGGATGTGACGCTGACAGTCGCTTGACTAAATGCTTCCTTGTGAAGCCCAGGATTTAGACTGGAGTAGGCTAAATCTAGTTTTGTATGTAAAATATTACAAAATGTCATATAGGATTTCATATTCATATTTTCTTGCCTTATCATCCCATATCTCACTAGGAGAGTTTAACTTGATCAGCAGGCTCTCCAATGCTCCAATGAACTTTTAGGGTTAGCTCCCTACTGAAAAGCCCTGTATTTAACATGGTGTTAAAGATCAAACTTGTTCACAATACTATACATAATATACTGTGTATTTATCATTGATTCAAATATTTGTTTTCTTAGTTCTGTTAGCTTACTTCCAAATTTTGCTTGAAGCCCCGACGCAATGCTATTACTAATAATAAAAGTATGCATGATTTAGTGATTTAATTTATTCTAACTTAAGCAATTATGCGCTACTTGTATTTATGCAGCCACAACAAGATAAATAACACATTGTTTTCCTCCAGAGGGGCAGCTCACCTAAAGAGGGCAAATGGCTGTTGCTCAGGCAACATTAGCCTGGCCTTGTGCGTGTCTTTGATCAAACTACTTATTTATAATCGATATCTAATCATCACATCCTCAGCTCGAAAATCTCTCTCAGGCTCACTGTGCTGAATCGAAGTTGTAGGAGGATGCAGGCATGTGGTGGAACTCAGGGTAGGGCAGGGCTCTGTGGAGTGTGGAAGGGCAAACAGATGCAAAATAAAACAACACTCCGGGCACCAGCACAGCCCCTGGCAGTCTGCTCAACCCGGCACAGACACACATAAACACGCACTGTACACATACCCTGTGTTTACACACAGCGTAGGCGGCACTCAGATTGGCGGGTGATTCTGCTCCCACTCTGTTCACTCAACCAGAGAATTAAGAAAATCTATCCACAGATGCTGAGTTTCAACCAGTCACGCGAGAAGCCAACATTTGTACCCTTTTCAACCAGTAACAGCAGGGGCTCTGAGACAGCAGGTGTGCACGAGCACGCATGCGCACACACACACACACACACACACACACACACACACACACACACACACACACACACACACACACACACACACACACACACACACACACACACACACACACACACACACACACACACACACACACACACACACACACACAAAATCTTTTACAACAACCCTGCCTTGAAACTAAGCCTTGAACACAGACACACACATGAGATGGGCTGGGCTGCTCTGTCAAGGGCTAGGTAGCTTTAAAAAATCCACATAAGCACCCAAGAGATCATTACAGATTAGCTGCATCACATCTCAATGAGGCTGATTAGGTGGTCTGCAGGGTGTGACCACTATCAAGCAGTCATGCAGTTTACCTGCTGATCAGTCTCATTAGTAAAGGAGGGCATGGCCATGGGTGCCTTCTGGATGTTATGTAAAGAATTTGACTCCCTTTGTTGCTGCTTCATGGAAATCTCCTTTCAGCAGGAGTGTTTGGTTTGGATCAAGACTTGAGCCGTGTCTTAAAGCAGAGCACAGTATTAATTACAATTTGATTCTTAAGTTGATCCCTGTAGGGAAAGTCTTTTATCTTGCCTTAATCCAGGGCAGAGCAGGTCAAAGCATTTCTGGAGCCGTCAGGGAGTCAGTAGCTAACTTATATTTTGGCCTTCATTTGATAGTGACAGCAGAGATGCAGGCAGCCAATGTGGGAAGACTGAGAGAAGAATGAGACACTGGACACATTTTCCGGACCAGAATCAAACCAGTGACAGTTACTCAGCAATAATAACTTATGAGCAGGTTTACTGTAGTGTGTTCACACTGAAAAATTACAAAATTGAGAACACTTAAAACAGTCGAGTGCATACTAAACAACACATTCGCACCTGCAAAACATTAAAATACATTTTTACATCTTTAGAAAGACATTTTGCTTTTTCTTCGATTGGAAGTCACACGATTGATGTTTTTTTTGACACATACAGCAATCAAGTAGCAACAATATTATTAATTTGTCACTAATTTAATCCATTGTTAACATAAAAATATTGATTAGAGCAGCTTTAGGTATGTTGATTTCTTATACACTATCTGCTAAAACACTATGCGGCACTGGGACACAGGAAGTGTATTACTTAAAGACAGGCAGGGTGGAAATTGGCCAATACAGCGGCTTCAACCTCATTTCTCTCGTTCACCTCTTACAGCAACTGTGTGGAAATTTTGCCTTTGCGACAAAACAAAAAGACACGATCACCTGGAAAAAACAGAGAATTTGGCAGTGGAGTGTACATGTACATGGTTATGTTATTATGATTAGTATATGTTTAATGTGACTTAAGTTACTAAAACAAAATCCCATTATGCCAAATTCTCAGGTTTTTTTGTGCATTTTTATGATTTTTCTTGGCTGGGGTTCTGCTTCTGGTTGTTGCTTTTTCTGTTGTGTACATGTGCTCTACATGAGCCACAACTTGCCCCGACATGCCTTTTCGTCAACCTCAGGAGTTGTTCCTGAAAATAAATGCATGTCTGTCTTTTAAATACTGTGTACAGTACATTTCCATATGCTTGAAACCTTATATCAAGCCCGTGGCACTCAAAGTGAATGGCATGTTTAGACAGAAGGAGGTACAATTTACAACACCTTTAACAGTCTGTCACATGTTAGTTCATACTGTATACAGGAATAACACCAAACAAAGCCAGGCTTCAGATGTGCTGAAAGGATATGAAATGTATTTTAAAGTACAGAATAATAATAATCAATTAAAACAGAACACATGTGCAAGGAGAGTCAGGAGTAAAAACAAGTTATCTTTACAGTGTAAATCAACAGATTTGTAGCCACCAGTGAAGTGTACAGTAACACACCGAGACACTCGCATACATGCACACCAAGCTGCAGCTCGGGTTGAAGGAATTCAGTGTGTTGAATACAGTAAATGACTCGCAGATGACAGATTGTCTCAACAGCAGAGGTTACCTATTTGAAGTTCTAGGCATATGTGTGTTGTGCAGTAATTTAAAATAATTGATCTGGGATAGTCTGAACTGTACAGCTACTGTTTTGAACTTTTCTGCTGAAACGGCATCTATTCGCCCTTTCTACACAGATGGGTCGACGTGTATTCAAAAGGTGAAAAAACAGGAAGTGAAATGGACTGGATCTTTTGTGTTACGCTTCCTGTGAGCTACTGCTAACTAATTGAAGTTGAAAACGTACTGGATCAGGGAACAAAAGCGTGGAAGACTAGAAATACGAAGGAGAAATCAAAAATAGTTCACCGTTGACCTATGAATACGAGCACCACCATCCAAGATCTAACATAATTTAGCTTATGTCAATATTCATCTTTTATAAGAGAAAAACAAACAAACAAAAAATAAACACTTTGTCGTGATGTGAATTTCTTCACCCGTCCCTTCATCACACTTTCTTGTCACACTTCACTCATCTTACTTTTTCTTTGGAAATGTTTCATCTTTGTATTACTTTCTTGTTATGTGAGTGTGGTCAATAACATGTTCTTTGTTTGAGCTTGTTCGATATTTATAAGGACCTTCTTTGGCTTTTTTTTTTTTTGCCCTGTTGCATCAGACACAGTTAAACAAACCTTGCACGAGAATAAAACACTGACATTCAAAAGACACAAACATACAAGTACAGGTGCAAATGTAACTGTTTACAGTAGAGACCTGGACAGTGCTGTCTTTGGGGATTGTTGGCCAAATCACATGTCCATTTATATTTTGTTAATTTTATTTCTTTTTTAACCTCAGCCCCATTTTTGTTCTATTTCCATCCTCTATTTTGGGTCCAACTACCTCAGTATTTCATCTTTCTATTTACACATTCTGGAGCTGGGAAGAGGATAAAGGTCGAGGTAGGGAGTCGTCTTAACGTCTCGTTTGACTTTCTCTTCCCGGGCCTTCCACAACCTCCACTGGTCGACCTTACCATTTGGAGGATTATTAGGTGCAGTTATGAACCCTCTGGAAGATCCAAAGGGTGGGGAAGGGAGTCCACAGTCCTGTTCGCCGGTCCCTCTCTGTCTTCCACATTTGCTGTATGTCTTTCAGAGGCTGGGGGGAGTATGTGTCCATCAAGGGTGGTGTGTATTCCGAGTCTGGTGAGGAGGTCCTGGAGGCGTGTGACGGTGCTCACTAGCTGCTTCTTCTCCTCCTCCAGTGCAGAAACCTGCTGCCTCAGCCGGCCCTCTGACTGGGCAAAAGCCTCCACTCGGCTCTCCAAGCTGCAGACGCGAGCATGTGACACCTATGTGGAAGGGAGTGATGGTCGAAATGAACAAAGTAAAAGAGAAGATAACTTGTCTTTATTTGTGTGTGTGTGTGTGTGTGTGTGTACCTGCAGCTCCTCAAGCAGGTCGAGGTTCTGCTGTCGGAGGCTCTGATTGGTCCTCTCCAACTGTGCAGTTCGCTGGTGTTGGTTGAGGGACGGGGGCGTGTCCAGCAGCTCATCCTGCAACACATGGTACTCTACCTCATAGGCCTGGAGCTGCTTGGACACGTCCATCTCACAAACCTAATGGACACAGAAAGTATTAACAATGTGCAACAGTTTTAAAAAGTTTTATCGTTTAACAATCTTGAATGAATATTTAAAAAAGCTAAACATTAAAGGTTCAGTGTGTAAGTTTTAGTGGGATCTAGTGGTGAGGGTTGTGAATTGCAACCAGCAGCTCACGGTGCATTCATGGAGTAGTATGTAGCTGCAGTACAGGAGGCTGCAGTTTCAGGACCGCAATCCTAGAACCGGAAACCATTTCTACGACCCTTGTATACTCTGATACTGCCAGCTAGCTCACGGCCAACATGCTAGCAGACAGGGTTAACCTCCTTCGTGTTGCTGTAAATTACCACCACTGCTACACTAGATGGTGCTATCACAAAAGAACTGCGGTCCCAGGATTGCAGGGGTCCTGAAACTGCAGCCTCCGGTACTGCAGCTACTTAATGTTGCATTCATGTGCTCCTTGGATGGCCCCATTTCCCGAGTTGTTCTTCCGACTTCAGTGTGTGTTCATGTGCTCTTAAGTTGGAATGTGGAATCAACATGGACAGCAAACTAACTGTATTACAAATTACATGTTTGCAAGATTTTATATCAAAAATCAAAGTTGTTTCTTCTTTATGTCCCATGTGTACTACACAAGATTTAAGGAGGAAAAAAGATTCTGATTATTCCGACACCACATGAATGCACCTATCAGTCACCACTCGCCCCTCACTTTCCAAGCGCGCAGGAGTAGCTATGGTGGCCGACACGCTCTGTTAGCTCTTGTGCTAAATAATAGGTATGGGCCTCTGTTTGTCCAAATTTCTCTTTTCTTACTTCTAATAAACCAGATGACCACTACTACTACAACAACAAACGTTTCTTCTTCTTCGTACATAGTGCAATATGTACGAACATGGCAAGTTCCATGTAAGGGGACCCATGGTGTATGGAGATAGAAATGGCTTATTGTAAGGTAATAAAAATGTAACGGTGCCTTGCAGCTTAAAGCTGGAGTTCAAATCAAATTGCGATTTGAAAGAACGCGATTAGCCAATCATGAAGACAGCGATTAAAATGTAAGGTTAATTATACAGTGCATCTGACCCGTTTGAAACAGTCATGCAGTTACAAATTCATTCTGTTGTCTGTGACAGACCCTGCTCGCCAATCACACGCGCCATGCGCCTCCTGTTACGGTCCTACTCACCAATCACAGCAGCCACAGGGCATGTACATTTTATAACAACGAAACTAGAGGAAAACCTATACAGTCTATGAGGAAAACATGGGATAATGGCGCCAGCCGAACAGACAAAGGCAGCGGCTGTGCCGCAGTTTTGTCCGGCGTCAATTCACACTTAAGTGTTGATCACAAAATTATTGATTATTTCATTAGTCAGTTATGATTTAGATTCCAAAAAAGAATAAAGGTCCAAATTTCATTTTGATATTTAATTTGTCCAATTTACGTTATCAGGAAGTTGCTGACGTCTTTTGCACTTGACAAACGTTCAGCAAATACACTTGGGTGATGGGAGTACCTGATTAAATGTAATAAATATGAGCATGAACATCAACATAGTTTTTTTTATTATACAACCTAATAGTTACACAGTTATATTATTTAAAAAAAGGATGCTCACTGTGTGCGTGTACTGGTACATGAATAGGAACGCTTCAAAACTTCCTGAGAAGCCTTTTTGTTATTGTCTGTACATCCAAAAGTACACAAGGAAAAATAAACTGTTATTAGTTAATTTGGCAAACATCATTTTCCAAATTGTAAGCAAATATAAAATGGGAACTCACGTTGCTGCTTGCAATATACTTTCTGTTTCTTGTAAATTTATCTGTTCATACAAGTAAAAAACTTTTGGACAAAGTTGGACAAAGCCCACATTATTGTTCAAGCTCATATTCATTACATTAAATCAGGTAGCCAAAGTGAAAGCAAAATACCAAGTCGTGTTTTAATTTTCTGATTTTGGATTCTCAATTGGATATAAAAAGAAGGAATGATACCGATTTAGTAAAATCAACTTTTGCCTTTGTTTCCTCTTCCAAATAAGTTTGGCTTACCTGTTTAAAACTTCTAAAATCGTCTGACTGTTTGTTATAGCAATGTTGCTGTGTCCTCTGCTCTCAGGAATTACAGGAATGACTATGAACAAAAGGTTTTGTGAAGCTGGTGAAGTGTTTCCTTTTCATGTTTCAAATTATACAAATAGTTTCACCAAAAAAACAAACAAAAAGGGAGTGTTCGTGTAACAGTGAATCACAGTTAACATATAGATAACCTTGTGTGAATAATCGGCACTTAAGGGAAATTACCGGCCAGCTAGAACACGACTACGACACGACAACACACTTTTGCTATCTCTAGATTATAAAGCAATTCATACTTTCAAAACTATCTCGTACCCTGATAATGTCTCTCTACATATGTTTGATTCATCACGATCTCAAGACAACTGACAACCTTCATTACTGTAAAGGTTAATGGAAAATGTTTCATCTTAACATCAATTACATGAGACTGGCTCATAAACAATATTACATAATGAAGTCTGATTATGACTCTGGGTCATTCGACACATGTACCCGATGTTATTGACATGCTGTAGTTTTCCTGTTTTTTTATTCATCACAAATACTGACGCATGAAGTGGAGTTGACTGACACTCCACCCTTCAGCTGCCCTCATTACGTTATAAGGAGAGGGTGTGGTTCACATTGATAGCATCTGTCATTCAAGCATTCATTCTCCATTTTTTGTTTTGTCATAAAGCGGTTATATTGTCTCTTTATCACTGCCGTGACTTGTAAAATCACATCTTACGGTGAAACATCTGTTTAGAGAATGGATGGAAGATTTAAGTTACACAATTACGTAACATATTACACACAGACATAAAAAAAAAAAAAAAGAAGAGGTTTTCTGGCCACTGATTCACTAGTTAGTTAACCAATGCAAATTCATTCAACCACCCACAACAGGAGGTGGAAATAGCTGCTGTGATGTTTATTTAATTATACTGATATTTTAAATTTATTTTATTGTTAATAAATCCCATGAAAAAAAGCTATACCATCAATAATTAATTCTACTAACGTATATTTTTATTCCTTGTGCCATAGAACTCAATTGTTGTCCAAAAACACATTTCTTTATTATGATGAACACGGAACTGTGGTTTATTTTGAGTCGATCCCATACACACTGTCATGCTGCGATAAATATAGCGCACCAAATGTGCAAGAAGAAGTGCGCTTTTCCAGAATATTACCAACAATTGGACACACTACTATAACCCCAAAACTTAGAATAAATAGTCCATAAAAATCAGACAGTGAGTCACTTTGTATTGTGTACCAGTTTGGTAGCCCAGTGACTAAAGAGGTAGTTACACATTAACGACTGTTTCTTATTCTAACCTGGTTGATGGTTTTCTCCATCTGCACCAGGCCCAGGTTAGGCAGTGTGGTCTTGATGAAGTCCACTATGGACTCCAGGTGCTCATGCTGCAGGATCAAAGGCTTGTGGCTCCCCA